TTCACATGCATGCAAGCTCACCTGGTCCAATGAGCAGGAAACGGAGAGGAAGGTCTAGTGACGTCATAGTCATGTGACCTCAGGCTCATAATCACGTGACCTCAGACCCAATCAATTGGGTTCTGGCCTGGTCAGCCCCCTGTCACCCGATCTTGAGGTGACGTACGACCACTCGTTAACCCAATCAATGTCTGGAAGGCTGCAAATTTTCACATGCCAAATCCACAAGATTCTTAAAGAGTTGTGCGAGATGACAAAACATAGAGGCCGCAGAATTATGAGGACTACCAGATCCTGGTGGAACCTAAGCGATCCATGATATCACGACAGGCCCTAAAAACATTCTCAAAAATTATAATTTTTTTCTCAAAAAGTAAATATACAACATAATTGTTATTCAATCTAAATAGCTAATAATTAACTAATTATAATTATTAACCGCCCCCTTCGACTAGTCAATAACATATTGTTCAATGTAAAAAAACCAATAAGCATACATAATTTAACATTACAATTTTTTAAGAGACTTTGAACACAAGGAAATTTATTCCCTAATTTCTTATCGTAATCAATGAAACAAGAAGTTTCAATGAATCAAGAAGTTTCAATGAAACAAGAGGTTTCAATGAAACAATAAATTTAATTTTAGCATATTGTACAGGATTGACAAATTTATAACAATAAAAATATAATGTTCACTTTGTGTATGAGCCCCAAAAGTTATTACCAGAGATGGGGTTCGAACCCATGCGTGCATCTGCACATTGGAACTTAAGTCCAACTCCTTAACCACTCGGACACCCTGGTATGTCAGTAAAGCATTCTCAAAAAGTATAATTTTTTTTTCTCTAACCTAGGTGGCCTAGTGGTTAGAGCATCCGCCTTCTGGGCAGAAGGATCAGGGTTCGAATCTTAATGTCACAGAGTCTATTGAGTAGCTAAGGATCCATTGGATCTATATGATCTCCTCGGTCGACTCAGACGAATGATAGGAAACCTAATGCATAAGTTAAGGGTTAAATGAGGAGAGAAACCTGTTAAAAGTTCAAAAAACTTCCTAAATTTTTTTTTTTAATTTTTTTTTTTTTAATTAGAATATATAAAATTATTCAAACAATATACACATAATATAGCAATGACCCTATATAAAATCAAACCTTTAAGAATATAAAAAATTCCCTAAACACTCAAAAATTACCCTTGGCCTTGTGGCTCCAAGTTAAGATCTAGACTGTTTATATTAACAATGTTTTTTCTCGCACCTCTGTCTCCACGGAGAGAAATCACTGTTGTTCTTAGGATTTCAAAGCGAAGGCGCTTTCTGATGTAACCTACAGCATCCGAGTACCTCTGGCCAGTGTGGTACTCCATCTTACTGGCCAGCTTTTTTACCAGTCTTTCAGCTTCACTACCCATTCCACCAGAAGTCGAGAACACTAAAGGTGTGAAGCTTCCTTTCTCCACTTCCAGAACCCTTGCGTTGTAACATCGCTTTTTCTCATTTTCATGGGACTGGTACATTGCTGGGATCGATTTGCTTGCATTGGAGGGGGCTGGGGCATGAAATACCCTTACATCAAAATATGCCCTCTCTGAAGCATTCCAAATCGATCTTGCAGAAATGTCCAGCCTAGCTTGGTCTCCAAGTACTGTTCCCTTAGGCAACTTCAGACCATCAACTGGAAGAAGAACTGGCTCAGTCTGCACATCCTTGCATTTCACAGTTCCTAAAAACTTCCTAAATACCCCTTTATGCAGTGCATACTGTAAATATATATAAATATATAAATCCATAAAAGTCCTTTTGAAAACTGTAGATGTTTTTCTTTTAAATTTCAATTGCTATTCATTTTTAATATATAAAATTATTCAAACAATATACACATAATATAGCAATGACCCTATATAAAATCTACCCTTTAAGAATTTAAACAGTTTCCTAAAAAATCAAAAATTACCCTTGGCCTTGTGGCTCCAAGTTAAGATCTAGACTGTTTATATCAACAATGTTTTTTCTCGCACCTCTGTCTCCACGGAGAGAAATCACAGTATTCATTTTCATACTGCAAAATTTATGGTTGACAAGGTTATTTATACATGATAAGACAGTTTACGTACATACATCAAAGTATCTTTGTTTAAAAGCCTGGTCGTACTCGGTAAACATTCCAGTACATCCGGACAAATAATTAAAATTTTAAGGCAATGAAAATTTTGAATATGTCCTACCGTTAATTGACGATGTCAATTCATGGCAGTTCGGCGCGGCACAGTAGCGCATCTCGCCGATCTAAGTGTGAGAAGCCTCATTGAGTGCGCAGCGCGGCACAGTAACGCATCGCGCTACAAGTCCTACCGGTATAGCATATAGTACGATGCAGGACATTTTCAAATTTCAGCTTTCCGCGACCCAAATTCAAAATTTCACAGATTTGACTGAATTTTCCTTGATACATGTTACGTATCACAAATATTTGGAGGACTTCGCCGCTTCGACGTGCCGCGCGAACTAGCATTCTTGCTTCGCATCGTCGATCGTTGCTCTGCTTCGCAGAGCAACGATCTCGATGGGTTGACATCGTCAACCAACACAAATATCGGCGGCGCGCGCTTCGCGCGCGAAAAGTGGCATGCAACGTATGTCAAAATTTTCCTCAATGACCATTTTTTCAAAGTCACTGAGGATGGCACAAGGCACAAGCTAAGACACGATTGAGGTATTCAAAGTTTTGTTCCCAAAGAAATTGCTTCGATAAACAGAAAATCATCAAAATGTAAAAAGAGTTTTTGGATGATTTTTGAAAGGAGCTTTTCTGCCATACCCTCAACCCTTGACCGAAATTTCGTAATTTTGACTGAAATTTTTACCAGTGACCAATTAGTGAGGTCACGGTCGGTGAAAGTGACACAAGTCGCCATCTTACCTGGGGCCGGGACCTCAGACTATCATGTTCATAAACATAGAGATTAGGCGGAATGACAGGCTGAGCGCGACCCAGTAAGTCTGAAGTCATTGTATCACGTGGTGACCCCCACGGTCGCTTAAATATAGAGTTTCAACGATATTAACAGGTGATACTCGTAAAATATCTGTTCCAGTCCTGGTAGGTTGTAAACCTACAACAACGATACAGGGCCGGGGGAGCCGCGCACCCGTACGCGGCGGGTCATACAACGTATGACAACTAAAGCATAAACAGCTGAAATATCGTTTTACAAGCCTGTACGTCACCTGCGCGCGCACGTTTGAAAAAATGGTTATTTGCTCACAGCTTGTCAAGAAATAATTAATTTCATGCTAAGTAATAGGTCTTATTCGAAATCAAAATAAAAAGTACATTCAACATTGGTATATAGTTTACTTTCACAATCCCACAGCTTATTTATATACCAAAAATGTTTGTAGCGCGATGCACTACTGGGTCGCGCGCGCATCAAATAATGCTTCTCGCAACCACGTATGCAGATCGGCGAGATGCGAAGGATTAACATCGCGAATCAACAAAAATGTATATGGTATAACGATAAGCATATCCACAGAACGGTCCAAATCTAATTGCCACCAGCTTTGTGCAGTGCACGCTATACTTGTTACCTGAGGACCCCAGGCTTTAATGTTGGTAAATAGAGATTAGGCGGAATGACAGGCTGAGCGCGGCCCAGTAATATACTTGATACTATACTTTGAAGAAATTTAGACGAGTATCGTCCGTCAAACAGCGTGTATCACAATCAAGTATCAACTCTTATTTATTTTAAACTTAGAGCGAGAAATAGACTAGCATGAGCAATTAGCTAGCAATTAGTTACCTGAGGACCTCAGGCTATCATTAAACACATTTCGCCGAATATGAAATAGATATTAGTGATTAGGATTTAGGCGGAATGACAGGCTGAGCGCCGCCCAGTAAACTGTAACCCCTAATAGTATTAGCAGTACATAAAGATATTGTAAAAGTTCTAAGTACATCAAATCACAATCTGGGTCTGATTTGCTACACCAGTATTATTTATAGCCGTCGGTTTATTAACGGGTGATACTCGTAAAATGTTTGTTTTAAATATTAGACTGTCGACGACTCGACGAGTCCAACTAAATCAGCGTGCGGTGCGCGCGTCTTGGTAAGTTAAAAACCTACAATCGGTTTTAAGCAGGCCAGGCATTTGTAATTGTATAACTTCGCATGTGCACCCCTGACCACCGTCTCGCCATTACATCGATGAGATGATAGGTTGCCATGCAGCGTCTGGCAAGTGGCAAGCCATGCAACTTATTATAGCAGCGCGTATATAGCAATATACAATGATCTAGTCGACGAGTCCAACTCGGCGCGCGTCCTGGTAGGTTATAAACCTACAAGTCATTGGTCAATCACCGTGTTATTTTCAAGTTCAAAAGACTTTGTTATTGATTTAATAAATTGTCAATAATTTGTTATACTTATCAATATCATGTGTTTGTTCCATCCTCAATCTTGCTCTTTTGTCGTTTGTCGTTGAACTTAAAGTTTCATGCAATTAAAAACGAGGAGATTTTACTTTCTCAGGAGCCATGTTGATGATTTATTGCTCCCATATGTCCCAACCTGCAGTCATGAGTCATATGGCGATCTCCCCAGCAAGACTATGCACTGGCACACTATGACTAAGTTGGCTGTCAAAAATCATATTTATAATTTGGTTTGACCGTCACATGAACTGTTTCATGTTTTTTGATGAGTATGTCATGGAATTGCTAGTTAAAGTTCCGTCGCTAGTTTTGTCTCTACATTTGAAATACCGATTACGGATTAAACACGTGCAAAATCTAAATGGACTTAGCAAACTTTTGACATCCGACTAGGTTGAATAATGAAAAAGGTCGTTAACAAATTGGTGATTACTAGCGTTTAGCAAACTTTGTCTTCAGCTTAGCTACATAAGCATTACCGACAAGGACAATCACCAAGTAAATCACATTATTTTGATGTACATGTAATCGGATTTAAACTCAGTTTATTAACAACAAAATTAATCATTGATATAAATACAAAACACTTTCGTAAGGACAAAACTCTGGCTAAAACAATTTCTGTCGTTCATCCTTTTCGGTTTTTATATTCATATTCATTAAATGGAAATAAAACTGAAAAAATGTCGATTTACTAAATCTTACTTGATGATATCTTTATCAACTGTAAGTAAACACAATTCTCATTATTGTATTCAATAAAATTCGTGTCATTGGACCATTTTAATTTAGTCTCGCCATTACTTTGAATTAACGGTAACACTAATCTAGTAGAATTAAAAATATCTAAAAGAGGCAACAACGCAATTTCAAGGGCTGAAACGTGGACTTCTTATTTCTTTCATCTTATGCTGAAAACTAGCCACTGAAATATCTCAATAACAAATTCGACACACCCCTTATAAATACAAACCAACTTGCGTATCTTTATTTCTTCTCCACTACAATCGCGTGGAGCATGCACTTAAATTTGGTTCAGGACAGTGAAGTTATCCGGGATAAATCTCATACCTTGCCATCCTCTGCAGCCTCCTTTTCAATAGCTAGTCCTGCTCTTGCACGAATTTTGGCAAGAGTCTTCTTCTCTGCTTTCCTCTTTTCTGCCCCATAAGACTCGTTGAATTTAGAAACGATAACAGTCATAGGAAGAGCTAAGATAACAATCCCGAGCACCACGGCTACGGAGCCGATCAGTCTACCAACGGGAGACTGGGGATAAAGGTCTCCATAGCCAACTGTTGTAACGGTCACTATACTCCACCAGCAACCCAACAAAATGCTATCAAATCCAGAGTCCCGGCCTAACTCTGCGTAGTACATGAGCGTGCCGAAAAGAAGAACAAATATTGCGATTAGAAGAGATAGCAGGACGAATTCTCGGGCAGCTCCGGCGATCACTTTCATCACCACAATCAGCTCTTTGGAATGCCTGATAAAACGGAATATACGGACCACTCTGCTTGTTCTACAGATTCGCAGAACAACGAATTTGTCACCAGCAGCTCCTGATTCCGAGGTGAACATGGCAATGAGTTCAATGTAAAATGGCAAAATTGCCAGCAAGTCTAACACGTTGAGAACGTTCTTAAAGAAAAGCCACGGTTTGGGCCACGATATTATTTTTAAAGTAAAGTCCAGAGTGAAGAAGCCATTGATCAAGATTTCAAGACCGTATAGAACGTAGTAGTAGTATTTTTGAGGGTATTCATCTGTGTCGTCAAAGTAGGGCGAACAATCAGGGACAGATTCTGCTACTAGGAGTATTACAGACAGTACAATAGCCATCATGTCACAGAATGCCCACAACATTGCCGCTTTGCTGTAGTGGGGATCCATCAAAAAGTTGTGTAGCTTTTCTCTTAAGGACAACTGAAAATAATAAAGGTTTCAACGTTGAAAATTATGTAAACTTAATTGTGAAAAATCAATCAAAGTGATTAACCATGGCATTTATTTTAGCTCGGTACCCGATATCGTGATTGAACTTGAAATGTTTGGCATGTTGCCAAACTACCCTTTCAGCTCAGCCTGGCACCAAGTTTGAATGATTGTTTTTTAAACGAAAATGCGAGTTTCTGTTTTTAGCGAAAAAAAGCTCCTTCCGATATTAAAATATACTCACACTTGCAATAATCCCACACAATTATGCACGCAACCTATTATTTGTTTACAATTACCTTCCAGCACAGCTCAATCCAAATAATCGATATCATTTAATTATTAATCTCCGGAAGCGTCTAATAATATACCTTTACAAATTCTAAAGAACGGATCAGAAATTAAAGAGCAGGACTGAAGCGGTCTTCTATGAAATAAGAGGATAATTCGTCAATAAAGAAGAGAACAATCGTCCAGCCCATGCCAAAAACTGTCATGTTAGGATGCCATTGTACTTAAATTTAAAGTTGGTTACGTCAAAATCCGTATCCTGCTCATTATACTAAATTGGTCAGGTTGTATAGAATATCCGAAGACTGAATTGTGCAGTGATGCTGCGTGTCCGTGTTTTTATCTTGAAAACATGATTACAAATATGGAAATGTCAAAAAGATCATGAAAATATCAATATCTGTGCAGATTTTGATATGGAAATTGGCTATTTATATAGTTTAAAGTGAGGATAAAGGCGCGCTTATGGTAGAAGAATTCTAATAACTGGCTGTGTGCCATGTATCTCTAAGTTAAACGTTACACAATGCAAATTTAAACAGATTTAGTGCAGATCGTATACTGATGTGGCTGTGAATGCAAGCATCGCTAATATAAGTTCACGTGACTTATGTTTGCTATATTTCTAACTTTTCTATCAACCTACTTCTTCTGTGATCACTTCTTCCTCTTCGTCATCAAAAGTGAATATCTTTGCCAAATCGACCTGAATAGTTTATTCCATTATCTGACAGATACTTCCAGTCAAAGTATTAATCTATGAAACACACAACCGCACTTCATTCAATTATGAGTCAATTTTGAAATTGGGGTACATTGTAAAAAGATAAAAGACGAATTATTGGCACACTTTTTATTGGTTTGCTTGTTTTCTGACAAAAGTGTTTGTGTGTTTACTACATTATATACGAAAATATAACTCCCTTGTAGTGTTATTTCTAAACTTATGGTATCGCTTTTGGTGATATTAGTTCACGCAACCTGCGAGAGAGTACACAACACTGTAATAATTCTAATCATCGATTAAAATTAATGTTGATTAAATTAACAGAGCATCAGACTGGAGACTTTATTGTTTGATTGTCGAATAAATAGAATTGCTACATTGTATAACTGCAGATGCGTAAGACAACTAATCTAATAAAATCAAATGAAAATTTCTTGACATCAACCGCATACTGCAGATATGTCCACACTCCACTATAATAGTGCTCGAGAATCAACCAAATTCTACCTTGAAAAACTCTAGCTCCTCCTCGACAATGTCCCGGTCGATATTTGTCGGAGACCGGAACACCCCACGTGACTGATAGAAGAATAGGATGGCAGTGAACATGCCCCGGTGACGATCAAAGTAATAAGCTTTAACTTCCTCGTTGTAGTAGTCTTCTATATCGCTCGATCCGAGCAGAGTATCTGGAAAAAACCTGAGGGAATGGAAATTTAGCTACCGGGCGCAAGTGTGGAATTTAGTTTTGAAATCCACAATTTTTATCCTAGCAGAATTTCTCGATAAATGCAATAATTTGTTTTTGAAATGAAATTTGTAAATTAATCCCAAAGCAGTCATATTCAATGGATAATTCAATTCAAAATGAGAAAATATTTTACTTTGTGGAATCATTACGACAGTCAAGCTAAAGATTTCAAGTCAAATGGTCGGAATAGTTCTCTTTTGTCGGGAAATCATAAAAATTATACTCCTTTCATACTTCGTCCTTAAGTACAAAGGATAAACATAAGAATAATCAAAACATTGAAGCAAAGTTATGACGCGTTTATAGGCTTGGGAAAGCTACAATTTTATAAAAAAATTTCCGACTCAAAATTAATTATGATATCCGACTGAACAAAGATGACCATCATCGCAACTATTTGAGACTTCCGGGAGAAATAGTGCAAAAAATGTTCGCGCATACCGGAAATTAAGATGGTAAATGGCAACAATGTTCACTATTTTAGCCGAAAAAATGTTCGCCCAAAAAAAAAAATAGTCCCCGAAGATTTTGCCAACGGGGATTTGGCTTTTTGGGTCAAAGCAAACAATCGTGTTCAGCTAAATACTAACAAACCCAATCCTTACAGAACTAATAATACTGAGTTTTTTATAAAATTACCTGAGAGTTTCTTTCGTCGTAGTGAACTCTTTTCCGCTCACGTTTATCTTGATAAGACTGTTTTCGGTCTGATGAAGGTACTCGTGGTGATTCTGACCAGAGTCGTATTTCATCGGCAAGTTGTTCCTGAAAAGGGTGTGTCAGAGCTTTTTAGCATCAGGCTGAAAGGAAAACTCCTTGAAAATCGCGATAAGGATGATGTTTCTGAAATTAATAGTTTATAAAAAAATTGGTGGGTCCATTTTATCACGTCCTGGAAGATTCATTAGGATTTAAAAACAATATTAAGCTCAAACGTTAAAGAATGTTTTTACTGTCGGCCAAGTAGGCTGATCTTCTATCGAAGCTGCATCTCCCTTCGGACAACTTTGCTCGGAAAATTAGACAAATTTCCAGAGAAAAATACAGATGAATAGAGACGAAAAATGGAACTTATATACCAGGATCAGAATAAAATGTATCTACTATTTCTTGGGTGGTTCTATAATTAGTGTTCAGAAATGAGCACTGTTGAAGCTAGCTTGATCATTAGAAGAGTAAGGGTCTAGACATGATTTTAAAATAACAAAAGGGAATGATCTGGGAGAGTGTAAAATCGGGGAAAATAATATCTATCATACTGTGGCTGAAATTCTGGGCAGGCCATGACGTTGTTAATGGCCCGGCCCCAAGCCTCCGATGTTACAGCCCCGACCACCAAAGTCTGCATGGACATCTCCATACCATTGTACGGGTCCTGTTTTATCCTCGTCTTGTATCCTCGGTAATACGAAGCCATCGTAAATCAAGATTTCGGAAGACAAATTGACAGAAGTGACAAACGATTATAGTTCCATCAGCCGAAGACAAAGGAGATATACTTTGGAGAATATTATTTCTTCGTGGGAAAAGTGAGCAGCAAAGCTCGATCGCAGATTCATCAGACACTGATTCACACAAGCACTACACCACGCCAGTCGGTGGCCACAATTTATACCAAATCAGACCGGGTATTGTTCTCTTAAACCACCTTTATGGTTTAAATAATCTTATCCGCACTGCGTGGCGTGGCATTTATTGAATTGCAACGATCTTTAATATAGCTCATAATCAATTTTAATTAGATACTGGAGCACTCACAACGGTTTATAATTCTATTAATCAAATGGTTCACTTCAACGATATGTAATTTGGAGAGTACGTGGTTGTAAAACTAAAAGAGGCAGTGATCTTAAATCAAGCGCGTAATGTAGATTATATCCACTATCAGACGACAGAGCTGTCAAAACTAAAAATATGAACAACAATTATTTAAATATTGAACATTGGTTGATCAATGACGTTATTCATTATTATACTTTTGCTTTCCGGGATAAAGAAAAGTTGTTTGTTCCCTTGCTACTAAAAATAAATGTTCACAGAGGAGAACAACCTAAAAACATATCAGAAAATAATTGCAGTACATAATAACATTTATCTTGCAAATAATCTATCTCTAAAGTTCAATTTAGCTTTTTTATATAAAAACATGAAATCGAAGAGTTGAATGAGAAAGAAGATACTGAATGTGGTAAACCTCTTATCAACATAAGGATAGTGTTCATGATAAGTTCAAGAGTGTTTTCAATTTCTAATCCAGATACTCAAATGTTAACAAAACAACAAAAAAACGGCTCTCCTAAAAAGATAGGACGTGACATATTGCTCATGACTCAAAGCTCAATACATCATTGGTCAGTCATGCTCTAGAGAAGATCTCTGTGTTGGTGTCAGGTATGAGGTATAACCATGCTCATAATTTCAACTGCAGTCTAACCTTCTGACAGTGTGAGAGTTTAGAACTCTCAACTACAAGTACGAACAACCAACTCCCTGACTTACCCTGTCCCTTTGATAGTGGTTGTCATGTTCATCGACCGATTGGGTCTGCACGCACTGCTGTAGACCGCCATGATTACGTAGATCACTCCCCGTACTTATACCACTTTCAAAACAGCTGGAAACAAACACAACCCAATGCTATCTGCCACCACTCTCAGGGTTAACTATCGTCCTCCTTAGGAAGCGATTCAGGACGATTATAAGTCTGGAGATAAGACGTAAGGCAGGTAACTAAGACGTGGTAACTGGTGGAGAGAGCTCCTCTCAAGGTTTGTGTTGGCGGTCTCTTGAGAAGATCTGACCTCCTCCTGACAGACCACTTATACAGACTATACAGACTCAACTAACAACCCCAAGTTACTGACCTACTCTTTCTGGTATATGTCTTGGCTTAATTTTGACCTGATTTTCGAATCAGATATTTAAGTAGGTTAAATAAACTAGATAATGTTCTAAGCTCTCAAGTTTTGTAATTTCATGGCCTGACGGTATAATAAATGGCGGTGTTGCGGCATGGTTAAGTGCCCATTAAGATGGTTATTCTCCAGTACGCTTTGTGCGGTAATGGAGCATACTTAAATTATTATGGTCAGGTGGTCAGGAGTACTCAGCGAATCTGACAGAGGAGGAACTCTCACACAACCTTTCCATGTGAAACTCAGCCAAACAACTTTAATTGGTTAATAGACATAATTGGTGGTGGTAGATATATTCCCAAATAGAATAGAAACCACCATAGAAATCATAATGAACAGTAATGATGATGGGCGTAACTGAAGTTAACTAGTAGCATAAGTAGTATGGTCAGGTCTAGCAGTAAGTATACGTCGAGTAGAGCATACAATATAATCTTATATAATAGTAGAATCCAGATCAAGTTTTAATGACATAATTGTAGTCAATACTCAGTAAAAATATAGTTGAGGATTGCTAGGTTCTCACCAGACGTGGTCATTGTCCGTTACACGGCCGTATTGCTTCTTTAGTCGTTTATAGCAAGCCTGAGACGAGGAATCCGATGAAACTAGGCCGAAACTAAATCACGGTAATTCTGGCTAGATAGCTGTCTAACTATACTGATACTTCGTCTTGATGAAGAACGTTATAATTTATAATAAAGGTTCGTTTAAATCTCGAAGTTTGATTAAGAGGAACCTTTTGTGGTTAAAATGGCTACGTTGGGAAAAGGTAACATTTGATTGCAGAGAAAATGAGGTTTTGAAAAAAAAATGAGCTGTTTTTACCGTCCACATATACCGACATCCATACCCGCCCCGTCGTCTTCCTCTGTTTTTAGTGTAAAATTTGCAGTCTGAGTAAACAGTCATTACAACTAAAAGCTTATAGAAAAACAAAGGCTTATGTCTGGAGATGCAACTAGTTAATTACTATTTTAACTGTACTGCAAGGGTTAACTGATTTAGGCTGCTGATAATGCTATTAACCGATTAGGATATTGTTAAATATTACCCGTACTGAATCACCCGCACTTGTGTGTTATGTGTTGATTTTACATTCGTACACGAGATATAATTATTCCACCATGTCCATGGTGCATACAGCGTTGTGAATCTTTTCCATGGTTCATCCACACCAATTTGGACCAATTATAAACCCTTGAAATCAAAATTGTTTCAACCACGTTACATCCTATGTTATGGCATATTCAAATCATTTACATGGCTTCTTAGCCTCTATAAGTTATCAAATTGAATTACAGTCGCAGTTAATGGTCGAAATAAACTTCTTAGAATTTAGTGAAGAATATTAAAGTCTGAAGTATCTCAGAAATAAAAGAAATAGATGTTCCGCCGATAAAGACGCCGTGCAGTCTTTAACTTAGTCGATTAAAGGAGACTACTTTAATCATTTATAAGTTTATAGGGTGGAGCATGCCATTCTTCAAAGTGACCCATTAAGGAACTATTACTCGGAGTATTTCCGACTTCTTACAGTCTTGCGCGAGCAACTTGGATTCATTTTGCATTGCAACAGTATCCAAAAAGGATACAGTTAGAAAGGCTTTGTCTCTGATTTATCCGGAACAAAGGTGGTTGAAACCCAGTATACTATAAGAATATTGCTTATATAATTAGTGTATAATACAAGCTAATGATCATGGGAAGGTTGTGATAAACATGAAATTGTTTTTCCTACGAATAATAGGGCACGAGGTTTAAGAACAATATAAATTAAGGATATAATTATAGATCAGCAGTACGATTGTTGTAGGGAAATTGTCAGAATAAAAGATCAATAGAAAAATAGAAGATGTAAAACCAAACTATAGAAATGGTCCATGTGCTGGGTGAAACATTTGTTCATGCTGAGAGATAAAAATAAAACTCTAAAACTGACAATATAATATATAATACTCACATGCGCATTTCGGCCATGACCTCGAAGACAGCATTGCTGAATCTGCCACCACCAAAGCGGCGACCTGACGTACTGTAAGCAGCAGCGAACGCCATCTATTCCTCATCTAGCGTCTCTAGAGTTCATTCAGAGGAACTTCGGGCAGGAAATGTTAGACGAGTTGTCCAGGAAATGGCTACATAACAAGACAGTCACAGAGTGTCAGAATATCTGAGGATTCCAGCCGAACAAAAGGCCTTCAGTTAACACAGGTGGTTGAGAAGGTGGCGCTATTTGCGAGTTGCTTACTTCAGAGATGGCTTTAGGGTTAAACAAGAGCCACGTATAATTGAGACCTGTGGGCACAATCTAGACTGGGAACAATGTGCGCAACGGGAAATAGACTTCTAGCCATTGTATCTCCAGCCCACTGTCTTAAATAACTCCACCACCGTCTAATGTTTGCTAAGATTAGACTTTCTCAGCCAACCCTGTTTTCTGTCTACACCCGAATTACCAAATCAGATACCTATATGGAGCCTAAATCACGAGAAACGGCACGGTAACTGACTAATTGTTGAGGCATCACTAAAATATTGAGCAGTTGAAACTGGCAGCATTTTCCAGAAGATTTTGAGACCCAGGCATTTTGATTTAGGAAGGTCACGGAGTGAAGGCTTGCTACCTGCATCAACTGCTTTGTTTGAAACATTACGAGCGATGAATATGTTTTGCGACTTATAATAAATGTGGCGTGATCATCATCGTGAGAAATTATCTGATATAATGCTAAAATATATCGCACAATAATAAAATTACTGCCCATGTGTTTTCCTTAAATGCTCTTGTAACTTATTGGTTATATCAAGTTAGTCAACTCACCAGCACGTACGTCTAGGTTACAGAAATATCCCGACCCGTCATATCGTAAAAATACTCACTGAACCATGCTCATAATCTCATTAACGTTTGATCGTAGGAAAATTACTAAATGTAGCGTAAAATACCACGTTAGGGCCGTTACCATGTGACATGAAAAAAAAAATTATTACCGATTGTGGTGGACTAATTTCCGTATAAGGACTGTCAGTGATCATGTGTTAAAGTCACACTAGCATACAGCATACTATTTGGTTTTATTTCCTGTTAGACCACAGTCCACAATACATATCACCATTGGATGATTACTTTATTCAACAAGTACAATTGCAATAAGTAGGTTGCTAGACATCAGAGAGATATTGATGGTGTTCTTTACGTAAGGCTGCTAAGATCTGACACTGATGATTACAGAATGAGCTACACATTACTGGCACATTACTGGCACAACACGTGAAGTATCACATTACTGTCACAACACGTGAGCTACACATTACTGGCACTACACATTACTGGCACAACACGTGAGCTACACATTACTGGCACAACACGTGAGGTATCACAGATATTCAACAGAATGAACACCCAGCCTGCTAGTAGACAGTTGACATAGGGAAACGACGGTACAAATTAGGACGAATCCAGACGGGCACCTATTTAATAGCTAATTAACACCCTGAAAATAGGATTCCAGTTAAACTGAGGTCAACAATAAACATATAATAACAAAGCGACCAAGATAATCGGAATAGGGTCGTTAGTTTACTTAGCAATCACTAGATTAGACTGCATGGAGCGTGCTGCAAAGTGCACAGCAGACTCTAAATCACGGACACAAGCAATAAAAATGAAAGATTATGACGACTCATTTTTTTCTCGGTGATTTTATCTTTTTAATTAGACTGTAACTTAGATCGAGAGCAAGAAACCTTGACGAAACATGATCACGAAACGGGAATTTACATTGTCTAACACAAAAAAGTCAATGTGCAGTTACTGCATTGTTCACGATGATGATAATGATACAAGCAATATATCAGTAAATAACAGTAATACATAACACAGTGATAAGTCATGTAACTGCAACTACTGGAGTTACATGACTTGTGCTTGACTCAACCTCGGAACAAGTGAATATTAATATTTGTCATTATCTCATAACTTTGATCTCAAGATTGGCGCAGCAAAAGAGCAGATATATAGAGGCGAATTTAATTGTAATGAGTTATACAGGGTGCGGTTGTTAGAGACTTGGGATTGGAGTGTAGGCTAATGGGTATGGAGCTTTTGAAAGAGAAGAACTTAGAAACAAATCTTCTTTGCAGCAATACTAAGATGGCACATACTCTCTCTAGAGTACGGGAAATAAAATTAATTCCTCAACGTCCTTTTCCCCTTTAATTTGGTGAGGTTATTTGTCAAGCTCTCTAAAGTCGACTAACTTCCCATACGGTAATTCGGATATTATGTGGACAAATTGTCCTTAGTGTTCCATACTGTTCAATGTCTAATTATTTGGCCTAACCACTGAAATTATCGTTCTGACAGTAATTCCCGATAATGATTTCATTACCATTGCTCTGAGTGGAATACTGAAACATTACTCTTTAAGCTAAATTAAGACATGACATTTTTAACTTAGTCAAACCGCCGCTTGACAAAATGTCGCTCACTGTCAGTGATAGACAACATTTAATTCAGGTCTCACATTAAATTAATTTGCGGATTCTGCTTATTATGATGAGGATTTATCTGGAAAGTTTACAGTTTCTAGTATTGGTTCTTTCCGATAATGAGAAGTTACTTTAAATTAATCTTATTAAGCACACCATTACTAAGAACCATGTGTATTTAAAGGTGTCGCCACACATATCCACACTTGAAGCGCGACACTAAATGTAACCAAAGAAACAAGGAAATAACACAAGGAGTGAAGGACGGCTGCAGAATGAAGGACGGCTGCGGCTCTGTATTCTGGAAACTTTCTGGGGAGTTTAGGCCTGTCACTGTTCAATATCAATAGACATAGTTGACCATGGAATGAAACAAAGCCTCCTTCAAGAGGAGAAGAATGTGACCTGGATTAGTGTGGTACTAGACCCTGTATGTGCATTGTGCATAACCAGCAAAATTGTTGATTAGTATTTGGGGAGAATGCCATACATGTGTAATGTCCTGCGTTTGAATTGTGTATCACAAAACGGCAGCTAGTGTTGTGATATTACAAGTATGTTTCATTAAGGGTTTGAAGCATCTAATTTCCCTCATCCATATTGTCGTTGTTGGCATTTCTGAGACATAACTATTGAAGCTAACCTAAATACTCCAATGATCATTCTTTTCTTGCGTGCCGACACATAGACATTGAAATATCTGGCTCGAGAGGCTTGCTATAGACGAAATATAATTGAAAAATTACATAGTATGTATCGCTTGAGATTTTCTTGGGCGCTCGAGAAACAGGTTCAAGATATGAACTCGAATCTAAATCGATACCAGGTTAATCTAAAATTAATCAGCTTGGATCCAGGAATGTGTTAAGCGCCTCAAATATAACAGCTGGAATTTCACTGTGTAGTTGTATGATTGAAATTTCTCTACCGGGAACACAATATATCTTAACGACAGTGTAGAATAGACATTCCAGCAAGGCAAAAATAAGAAGGAAATCTGAACAATGAACTTAATTGGCAAACAATATCCACAAATCTGGTCAAACTGAACCACTGGACCAGACTCTTGTTTGAATTCCACTCTTATTTTAAATTCAGCAAAACACACAAATTTACCGAACTATTCGAGGATGGGACAGAGAAATGCGTCAAAAAGGCGGTCTAATATGGTCAGTATACTCGGTGTAAAACTTCCCGTAATAAAACAGGGCTAACAAGGCGCCTGGGTTAAAATTCTGGGGAATTACTCACACACATGTACCTTCAACCGCGGCAGTTTTCAACGACTATTAAATGTTCATTAATTTACTTGTATAAATTATTATAAATTCGAATGGTATGGAATGTGAACGAGTTATCGATTGTTTTGAAACTATGCAAAACTGTGGTCAGCAAAAATTTAGTGTTCGCACCTTAATTTTGAGGCCATTAAGAAAATGAAGCTGATAATAAGAATATGTTTACGCCAGCGCTAACTGTCCTCGCAATTATATTCCCTTTTATTATCAGCCGCGTATAGTTTTTAGTAAAGTTGTATGCTTCTGTTTTACCTTTATGCTATTCAATTAAAATAGGCAGATATAGGTAGGTATCCTACAGCATGGTAGTACCTATGAATACTTCTTTACGCTATTTGCTTGTTATATGTTTAAGGTATTATTTATTAGGTAGTTCAACTAAATATTAACACTATTGTAATTAAACACAGCAAAGCAGTAGTCCTGAACAGGAAAGGTAACCCCTAGTTTGTTGCCTATTTTTATGACACCAGGTACCAAATCCTCAACTTTTCATTTGCGCACTAAAACTGTGGAGCCTCGATAAACTCAGCAACAAACACTTTGTCAGATAGCAAATGATAAGTCAGATAGCTAATAGTATGTCAGATACGGTCAGACTTTTTATATTTTGACTTTCTCACATAAACGGTTTAATTTTATCAAAATTAAATTTAAAGAAAATTTTGTAAGAAAATGTCTGTTTCAAAGAGGACAACTCTAATTTGTTGACAAAAGCCCAGTACGGTGGGGAAATATATCCACCTGAATATTTACGGACTATCGGAATTGGTGGTATTCTATTAATTAAGAGGGATTAAATCAGAACGCTAAACGAGTAATATTTACTGGTCTCTATTATTTAGAATGGACACATATATGATTTAGAACGTACACCCACACACTCCCCACTCAAAACATCAACAGTATCTCCCCGCGTCGGGTAAAGTTAGACATTCGGGTGCCAGGCTCGGTCTCCTGATAATTGTAGAAGATATTCGAGACTTTGCTCAGCTCTGGACACCGCCGCGGAGCTGGCGGTTACGTAATTCTTGGTCTACCTGTCCACTTTTACCAAGAATGGTTGGTGTTTGATCTCACATCTGATTCAATAATGTTCATGACAAGTTTCAACCCAAGATGGCGGTATTTTTAGATTGACAGAAGTTTTTTTTATTGTCAAACAATAGTTTATTAGGAATTAGAAGAATAATGAAAATCAATGCTTTGTGGATGAAAAGAGGGGGGTACAAATTTCGATATCAAAGTAAAATATTGTTAGACTAGACACACAAAATGAGACAACAAACGAGTGTGATAAGGATAAATTGACTGGAAATCAGGTACAGGATTTTCTAAGGATAATATTTGACGTTGGAAAAGTGACTGATTCAATGAATGGCAACGCTCATGAATGCAGTCACAGAAGTGTGCAAAAAGTATTCTAATCAAAAGTAGGGAATATAGATTTTCTGAAGAAATTTCAGAAATCAAGGGGACAATTGAATAATGTTCTTTGATAAGACATAAGTATGTAGATTCGAAGAAACTCATTCAGAAATCAGGAAAAACAAGATAATTGTGAAAACAATGCGAGCAAAA